AGTCCATTATCAATTTGAAATATTTAAACCTTCTGGAGTTAAGTTTGGTTGTAGGGAGACTTTTTTGTTTTTTGGAAGAGGTTTTTTTTTTTTTTTTTTTTTTAAGATTTTATTTATTTATTTGAGAGAGAGAATGAGGGACAGAGAGCACGAGAGGGAAGAGGATCAGAGGGAGAAGCAGACCCCCCGCCGAGCAGGGAGCCCGATGTGGGACTCGATCCCGGGACTCCAGGATCATGACCTGAGCTGAAGGCAGTCGCTTAACCAACTGAGCCACCCAGGTGCCCCTTGGAAGAGGTTTTAGAAGGAGAACAGGTACTGCTACTTATCCAATGGTTTGGTAAGAGATGGTTTAACCCTTGGACAGCTAGGCACCACTGCAGTATGTGTAGACCATGGCAGAGGAGGAAATTATGGGCAAAATTGCCATTAAAGTAACAAATAGGGCGCCTGGGTGGCTCAGAGGGTTAAGCGTCTGCCTTCGGCTCAGGTCATGATCCCAGGGTCCTGGGATCGAGCCCCGCGTCGGGCTCCCTGCTCTGCGGGGAGTCTGCTTCTCCCTCTGCCTCTCTCTCTCTCTGTCTCTCATGAATAAATAAATAAAATCTTTAAAAAAAAAAAGTAACAAATAAGCACAAATTTATATTATAAAGTAACTTGCTAAACATAAAGTTGATCAATTGGAATGCAAAGTGTTTTAAAGAACTCTAGTTTTATTAGTTTGAGCTAATTGGAATTAGAATTAGTTTAATAAAGGGGACATGCTTTAAAATAAATAGGTAATGATGTTTTATGAGCCTGTCAAAGTAGAAGCCAAAACAATTAGTTTTAGCTTAAATCATAGTTATGGTATTTACACATAAAATGCTGTTTTTTTAAAAAATATTTTCTTCAGTAAATATTTTTGCCTGTTATGTACTACTGCTTACCAGAATGATCACAAATTACAGCAAAGGGAGATCTGAGATTCTGAATTTCATTTATGATACAAACTAATTGCTTAAGTATTAGAGAAGAAATGAAGGAGAGATCAATATTTGATGTTAGAAAATGAAGGGATAGGATAAGAAATTGTGTAGGAGGAGGAAGGCATCCCGAGGTGGAGGCAAGAAGGAATGCAAAGGTATTCGTTCAAGTATTCAGTATTTATCGATAGCTTACTGTGCTAGGTGCTGGGGTGAAAAGTGAAAAGGCCAAGTCTTCGCCCTCCTGCAGCTTACACTGTAGGGAAGGAAGGCCACCTCCAGATAATGCCAATAGTAACAAAACGCCTCTCTCCTGCTAATTAGGTTGAACATTCTTTTTCTACTGCAATTTCACATTTTTAAAAATAACAGCTGTATTAAGATATGATTCACATACCATGACATTCATTCTTTTAAGGTATACAAGTCAGAGGTTTTCGTTATATTAGCTGAGTTGTGCAAACATCACCACTCTCACAAAGGTTTTAGCAGGATTCTCTTTGAAGTTCACTTTTCCAGATCTTTTTCTGAAGCTGCCTTCTTCTTTTGGTATCACATCCTGCTTGTTAGGCTCCACTAATTACCAGCTGATTGTCCTCTATCATTTCCATACAGTGCCCGGGCTGTAAATTTCTCAACAGTCTGATCCAGGGGTGGTTTTTGAGGCCATTCTGAGGTTTGCTCTGACGGCAGGTGTGCTCTTCTTGGTCTTTCTGATGATCTAGCTGGTTTATCATATAGCTTGCTGGTCTTCATTGAGAGGAGTTATTATCTGGGCACCTGGGTGGCTCAGTTGGTTAAGCTGGGTCCTGGGATGGAGCCCAGCATCGGGCTCCCTGCTCAGCGGGGAGCCTGCTTCTCCCTCTGCCTGCCGCTCCCCCTGCTTGTGCATGCTCTCTGTCAAATAAGTAAATAAAATATATATATATATTTTAAAAACGGGGGGAGTCATTATCTTTGAGAGCACCCTTAGGCTTGAACTTGCTCACACTCTGTTTCAAATGGATTTGGTTCCTTTGGGAAGAGCTTCAGAGCTCTCTTTTCTTACAGCCTGCCTCTCTTGGGCAAAGTCTCCTAGCCACTGTTCTGGGCACAGGGTTGCTTCTGGTGTAGAACTTTTGTCCTGTGAGCAAACTAGGTTGACCGCTCTTGGGGCTCCAGCGTCGCCAGCCAGCCTCCTGCACGGTGGTCAAGCTTCTGTTTTATAGGTGGAGGCTGTGTGGAGGAAGGCCACCTCTGCTCTCTTGGTCGCCCTCACCAGGAATGTAGCCTCTTCTGCTTGGAGTTGGAGGGGATGAGAAATGCTGGTGGCCTGCCTTTTTTGTGACATACAGGGTACGCCTTGATTAAGGGCAGAGATGGAGCTCACCTACCAGAAGTGGAGTTTGTCAACTTGAGCTGGGGCAAAGTAGGAAATCGGTTATGGCTCAGATGCCACAAACTGTCCCAGTACCAACTTTTAGTAGATTTTCTTGAATAATGTTTCTTCCTTTGAATATGCCCCTAGGGCAGTTTCCAGAGACTTTCTTCAGTGATTGGTTTTGTTTGTTTTAAACTTCTAATTTTCATTCTAGTTAGTTAACATTCAGTATTATATTACTTTTAAGTGTATGATACAGTGATTCAAGAATTCCATACATCACTTGGTGCTCATTCATGCTCATCCTAAGTGCTCTCTTTAATCCCCATCACCTATTTCCCCCATTCCCCCCACTCACCTCCCCTCTGGCAACCATCAGTTTGTCCTCTATAGTTAAGTCTGTTTCTTGGTTTGCCTCTCTCTCTTTTTTTCCCCCTTTGTTTTGTTTCTCAAATTCCACATAATAGTGAAATCATATGGTATTTGTCTTTCTCTGTCTGACTTATTTTGTTTAGCATTATACTCTCTAGCTCCATCCATGTTGTTGCAAATGGCAAGATTTCATTCTTTTTACTGCTGAGTAATATTCCATTGTATATATATACCACCTCTTCTTTATCCATTCATCAGTCCATGGACACTTGGGCTGCTTTCATGATTTGGCTATTGTAAAGATGCTGCTATAAAATAGGGGTGCATGTATCCCTATGAAGTAGGTGTTCTTGTATTCTTTGGGAAACTACCCAGTAGTGTGATCGCTGGATCCTAGGGTAGCTCTATTTATCAGTGATTGTTTTTTAAAATAGCTTTTGTCAGCTTTGCTTATTTCACTGGACTCTGGGTCTGTGAAGCACGTTCCCTGTCATCCCAGAAGTGGAACTCTCCAAACTGGTTAATACTAAATCTTCCTAAAGTTCAAAGATGTGTTCCCAGGAAGGAAACTACGATTCCAGGTAACTGATTTTTTTTTTTTTCCTTTTTTGAATAGCAGTTTTGGTCAGACATGAAAACCAGAGCTACCAAAATCCAGAGCAGTTCTTTGCACTATCTCAAGTATCATACTGAGGACTTTTATAATCGCTATATGTGTGATGAACTAAAGATGTTATTTGCAGGGTTCATTTTACTTAGTGGTTTTCTGCCCACAAAAATTTGCAGTATCTACTTAGCTTGTTTACTTGACTGGATTTTGCAGTTCTTTGACTTTCCTGATATGTGGATGTTTCCTTTATGGGGTGTTTGATGGTTTTTTTTGCATTCTTTCATAGCCTGTCATACAATTTACAGACATTTAAGGTGATATCCATTTTTTTAATATATATTTTTAACATAGGTTTGACAGTTTCTTACAGAATGAGGTGGTAGATACAATTGAACCAATTTCCTCACACTCTGTGCTTTATTAATGTAATCATTTCTTACCTCAGGCTATAACTCTACATAAGTTAAACTGAGGAAGGAGTTGATAGCATTCAGTTTTGTAGCAGTAACAGTATGCTGTTGGGAATTCCCTTTAATGTAGCATTCATTTGTATACTGTTGTAATAGCATGTAATGTCTACCTGCAGCAGTGATCTGTCATGAAAATTTACTCCCATGATACCTGGCTGCTTGGTGAATTTCATATTATAAACACACATATCAAATATGGGATTTAATGGTAGGAGATCCATGTATATTTCTATAATACATTTGGAAAGACACACAAGGAACTGGTCATTGGTTGTCCCTAAGGAAGAGAATCCCCTAGTTTGGAGGACTGAGATGGAAATACATACTTTACTCCATTTGAATTTTATAATGAGTCATAAGTGTTACTGAAACAATAGTAAAGCACTAAAAAGTAAGTACAACAAAAACAAAATGAACAATAACAAAAGGGAAAATAAATGGATAAGACAGACGTTCTGTGGATACAGTTTTAGCTAAATATAATCTGGTGGCCCATTTGGGTTTCTTTTTACGATAGTAAGCTCTTTGTGTTGATTGATTGGCAAGTTTGATTAGAACTCTCTTCTAGGTGGTAATTATAGTCTTATATTTTATCATATTGTTCCTTCCAATATCAGATGATTTAGAAGAGTTGCCAGGTTTCTCTTTGATATCGGATCTATTCTTGATTTGGAATGCCAGTTAGTAGAAGTGTTGCTTCATGAATAAAAAGACCATGATGGTGGCTTATGATTATTCTTCACTAATGATAACTAAGACAGGATTTTTTGAGGTCCTTTGACCTATATAGATGGTACAGAATTTACTTGAATCCTTTTCCAAATTCTCATTTCTTTTTTTAAAAATATTTTTTTTATTTATTTACTTGTCAGAGAGAGAGAGAGAGAGAGAGAGCACAAGCAGGGGGAGCGGCAGGCAGAGGGAGAAGCAGGCTCCCTAATGAGCAGGGAGCCCGATTCGGGACCCGATCCCAGGACCCTGGGATCATGACCTGAGCAGAAGGCAGGTGCTTAACCAACTGAGCCACCCAGGCATTGCTCCAAATTCTCATTTCTAAAGTGTAATTGATTAAATTCATTCTTGGTGTTTCATTTTAAAAGAATGCATCTTCAGCAAATCTCTTTACATAAAGAAGAGGGATTATGTTCAAGTTTTAGGTTATTGTTATATATCACTGTATTTTAAACATTTACAGATTTTCTTTTTTTTTTTCTGCTCTTCAGCCGGCCTCAGAAAGTATGTTTGTGTCCATTTCTACCATTGCATCCTCTGCACATCTCTACTCATTTGTACATAATTCAGCATCCAGCAGAGGTAAGATTTTGTAAAATTCATAATTTCAAATAGAATATTATTAGTATGTAAGAGGAAACACACTGATGAACATACTCATGCCTTCCAGCTTTTTAACATTTCTGAAAATAAATTGATGATAAATGCTTTGTCTTTGGGAAAAAAGTTTCTTTTATGTATTATAGTGTCGTGTCGTATGCTATAGAGACATAAAAATTGTTATTTCATAAAACCGTATTATTTCATAAAAATGGTAACTGAATAGTATAGAAATTTGGAACATCAACAATTTTGTGTGAAGAAAAAATGAAATTTTGTGAGTGAAGAACTAAGAAAATCATTGCTTTTTAAATTTTGATCATAGCTTATATTTCTTAATGTTTTTTGTTGAAGTAGAAGTAACTGTCAGTATTTCAGTTTTATAAAAAGAACGTATAAAATAAAGTTGTTTTTTTTTTTTTAAAGATTTTATTTATTTATTTGAGAGAGAGAGAATGAGAGAGAACACATGAGAGGGGATAGGGTCAGAGGGCAAAGCAGATTCCCTGCCGAGCAGGGAGCCTGATGTGGGACTCGATCCAGGGACTCCAGGATCATGACCTGAGCCGAAGGCAGTCGCTTAACCAACTGAGCCACCCAGGCGCCCGTATAAAATAAAGTTTTATTCCTTTAATGAATAGAGCAAATATATAGAACTGTAATAGAGCGTTCCAGTTTGATGACTCCCCCTAAAAAGTGATTGAAGACCATTTAGATAGGCTTAGGAGGAGGCTTTGGGAAAAGATGATTTGGTGGAGTAGATGATATGGAGGTGATAGGATGGAGCATTTTAAAGAGTAGGTATCAGTATCTAAAAAAGTACTTAAAAATAAAACAGTTATCTCAAAAGCTTAAGAATAAAATAAAACAGTTATCTCAAAAGTAACAGGGCACCTGGGTGGCTCAGTTGGTTGGGCGACTGCCTTTGGCTCAGGTCATGATCCCGGGGTCCTGGGATCGGGTCCCGCATCGGGCTCCCTGCTCGACGGGGACCCTGCTTCTCCCTCTGACCCTCCCCCCCTCTCATGTTCTCTCTCTCTCGCTCTCTAATTCTCAGTCTCTCAAATAAATAAATAAATCTTAAAAAAAAAAAAAGTAACAAAAATATCTATAAGGAAGAAATGTTCTGTGAAACCGTGTGGCCTTTATTTGTGAACAGTGTTAATGTAGCCATAGTGATGTAAGCACTGTTTATTGATTTAATTAAAAATATGAGAGATGTGATGGTAAGGAGTGATGGAAGAAAGGTAAATCCTCATTTATTATAAGAGGCTGTGGTTATATAGTGCATTAGCTAAGAGTAAGGGCTCTGGAGCCAGATTACTTGAATTTAAAGCCTTAATAGTTCTGTTAACTGTAACCCTGGGCAAGTTAATTAACCTCTCTGTGCTTTAGTTTCATCATTAGGAAAATGGACATGATAAAAGATACACTGCTTTACTGGTTTATTGTGAGCAGTAAATGAATCCGTCTATCTCTCTATCCATCTATCTATAATGTACTTAGAATTATGTACATTAGAGTCAGCTATGATGATGATGATAAATGGTACTTTGTAAAAAATATTTAAAATTGATAAATCAAGAAATAGTAAGACACATGTTTTGTACAAATACGGAGATAACCACTAGAAGAAATAGCTGAAAAAATTAAAGTGATTGGCTTTAGGAAATGGTAGTGGGGAGTGTTTCTGGGAACATTATAAATCTTCTGGCACTGCGTTATTTAATTTGACATATATACGTATGTTGGTAGAAGTTTGGAGAGTAGTTTAAGTACTGTGTGTCATAGTATCATAGCTATAGTAAGGAGGGAAGAAAACAGGAGGACATACTGGAAAATGTCTTAAACCTCTCACTTCGCCTCTCCTCATCCCGTTCGTTGTAGGAGCTGCTCCAGATTGGTTTCAGGCTCCTCACAGCTCCAGCTTGCTACATGTTCTTTGTAGTTGCAAATCCCAACAAATTCTGACTCTCCTATTTCGTTTTCCAACTTTTAGATAGAAGAATTTAACTACTCTCGGCGTTTCTAGATTTACCTTTTCATATTATTTTAATCAACACTTCAGAGACCTAGGACAAAAGAGGTTAACACAAAAATGTCCCCAAAGGGCATATTTGTGTGTGTGTTGAATACTGTTACTACCATACTTTTTGTTTCTGTTATAAACATAAGTTTATAATGTAATGTTATTATAAACTTATTTTTCATTACTTTAGTAAATTCATATGAAACATCACTCTTGTGTATTAATATGCTGTGTGTATTAATGTGCTAAGTGGTCACATTATTTGCTCTGAGGATATATAAAAGCAATGTTATATAAACTAATAGAGGTAACAGGGGTCTTTATGTAGGTGAACTGCTTAGAGAGGGCTCCTGGCACTTGTTAGATCAGGCTTAACATTTCCAGTCGGGCCAGTGGAGAAGAGCCAGACAGTGACTGATCACTGTAGACGAAAATAACTGAGAAGAGGCAGGCTCTGGCAAAATAGCAAATTAGCTGGGTATACTAGGATAAAGGATAGAATTGTTGTGACAGGAAAGGTGGTTTTCAGTGTTGGAAGCTCGGATGTTGGAAAAAAACACTGATGATAGTTAATGGAGTTTACAGGAATGGTCACCAGATTTCTCTGCTCTTAAGGTTATTATATTTTTCCCTTTCCATATTATTGTTTGGAAGTAGGCCGTAAATCCAGCCCACATTCAGATGGGTAGGAGACATTAAGCTCCACCTCCTGGAGTACTGAGTACTTACGTTTACTACTTGGAATTCTTCTATAAGGAAGATTTATCTCTTCTCTCCTATTTATTTATTTTGTATTTTGGGTCATAATCCAAATACTTTGCTCCTTACTTTGTTACTCAAATTGTACCATTTTGGTCATGGGGAGCTCTTTAAGATTGGCTTCTCTGTCACTTTGATGTGCCCCATGGCTTTGTTTTTTTCAGCACTTCCTTCTTTTCTGGACATAAAGATTTAGGCAATTGTCTTCAAGTTGACGTACTACAAAATATAATTACTACGGAAATAAAATTTGTCAGAATAAATGATTCAATTTAGTTAAATACAGATTTCATTTTTCATAATCTTAACCATTATTTGGGTTAACGTTATCTTCTCATTTGATCAGTAAACCTCTAAACACACTCAAGTAGAATGAAAATGTGCATTTATGTTTAATACTGATAAATCAGAAAGACTATAGCTCTTTTTATTAAACTGTGGTCTGTAATAAAAGTCTTGTGAAAGTTATATATCATGTAATGATTCAGATGTTCATCATGAAAGTTTTAAATGTGTGTTTGTCTAAACGAAAACCTATGTTTTAATTAATTTTTTAATTAAAGGAAAACAAAGTGTTGCGGACAGTTCCCCTATTAACAGCATGCCTCCCCCAGGACAAGTGTAAAGTCAAGATTGGTCGTCGCTTCAGTGAAGAAAGGTAAATTACCTTTTAGGGCAATTGAGAATAAGTCTTACCTACACAGATCTTTAAAAAATGGTTTCCTTCACCTTATCCATCAGGCCCAGCGCGTGGTATATTGGAAGAGGTAAAAAAAAAAATTGTTTTGCCTTCTTTTTCAAAATAATACAGGACAAATCAAAACATGAACAAAAACACCCTCAGAAAACACAGGCCAAAATGTAATAAACAGAGGGATTATCTCAATTCTATAGGAATGTATGTTGAGCTAAAAGGCATGTACTTACTCTTTCATTTTTGTTAAAACTGCCTTCAAGATGGTGGAGTACTTGTATTAGATTTAGCTGTGTTTTTTCTTCTTTCTTTTTTTAAATTAACAATTATATATGATATACATTTATGTAAATGAACACATATTTATCCAATTCTAGCTCATTAAGGCTTTCCTAAGGCATGGTGACTAGTACTATATTTAGTATTCTTGTTATAGGCACATCACATTTTTTTAAAGGATAGAATGCCTTCTCCTGTCATACTTAAAATACGCTTTTTGATGAGACCCAGTATTTTTATAGGTAGCAGCTCATTAGTTGGTAACTTCACTGACAGTTCTATAATGTTCTTGGATCTTATTTCATACTCTAGTACATAACCCATTATCATAAATAGATATTATATACTATGTGTATATTTAAATTTTTCTACAAGTCTTTTCTTATCTTTGAAGCATATTTTTTTGCTTTCCTGCCCATTCACAAAGCCTTCACTAATTTTGTCTTACCCGCACAGTTAAGTATATTTTTATATGCAAAATTTAATTTCTTTTGAAAATACAGAGATTTCTTTTTCATCCACTTACGAAAATGCTAAGTAAGGCTAGTAATAGCTCCAAGCCCAGGGAATTGACCAAACTTTTCCCTTCCTTTGTTATTTTAGGTTCCTTTATTATTTAGTTTCAAATTAATGATATTGTGTTAGAACTTTATAAAAATCATTTTTTTCCCTTCTCTGAAACTATTGTTTAGGAACACTTTTCTCATACACAGTTTTCTTTTGCCTTGCCCTCGGAGATGAGATTTGCTCTGAGCTTGGTGGTGCTGTTGTGAATTTTGCCATTTTGTTGGGAATGTGCGTGAGATCCAGAGCCCTTCACGTGGGGAGTGTCCATATCATTTACATTGTGGCATTTCTTTCACATAGGGTCTCTTTATAATGAATGTAGTCTCTATATAATTCATAGGTGGATACAGATATATCCAAACTTGATCCACCTGCCAGCTTGGATCCAGATTATTTCATTGCAAAAATGTTGAGTATCTAAACTATCTGGGTCATTCCTGACATTTGGCTATCTAGTCCCTCCACAAGTGTGTTTGTGGATGAGAAACTTGATGCATTTTCAAATAGCTCATCGCATTTTGAATCTATTATATTAAGTAGTTCAGTTTTTTCCTTTGGAGCCTAATATAGTACTTTTTCAGTAAATTTTTATTCACTGATGGATTTTTTTTTTTTTTAAGATTTTATTTATTTATTTGACAGAGAGAGACACAGCGAGAGAGGGAACACAAGCAGGGGGAGTGGGAGAGGGAGAAGCAGGCTCCCCGCAGAGCAGGGAGCCCGATGTGGGACTCGATCCCAGGACCGTGGGATCATGACCTGAGCTGAAGGCAGTCGCTTAACCAACTGAGCCACCCAGGTGCCCTCACTGATGGATTTTTAAGCTAAAGCTAATTAATATTATTAATTAATTATTAATCTGGCAATTGAATGATAATAATTTAAGCTTTTTTTAGAGTACATGACATAACCATGGAGGAATGGTTAAGAAACCTACTGCTTTTGGTATTCTTTGTAAATGGAATTTAAAAATACTTACCTTCAATTTTTTACCTCTAGTATATAAGAAAACAGTTGGGTCTTGTGTATCATCCCTGTATCTTTCTAAATTCATTTGGTACTTACTGAAATTGTTTTGTAGCTTCCCTAGAACTTTCTATGGAAGTAGCATTATCATCTGCTAATAAGGTCATTTTTGATCTTTGTGCCTTTTATTTATTTTTCTTGCTTTATTGCAATAACTGGGAACTTTAGTACGATGTGTATTAGGAGTGTTGAAAGCCGACATTTTTACCTTGATCCTAATCTCAAGGGAAATTGCAAAATATGATATTGACGTAAATTTTTGTAGATGCCATTTATCAGTTTGAAGAAGATGCTGTTTATTGTCTTCAGTAGACTCTTTTAGCTTTAACTCTTTAGCTCAACCCTTCAAGGTTGTTTTGTTGCTTGCAGACAGAGGCTGTCTCATTCATTCTTACATCTCCAGTACCAAAATGCTTTGATGTGTATTTCTAAAGGAACTATGCTAAGAATAGTTAAACTTTTTTTCCCTCACAAGCTAATGATGGTTTTCTTTTAAAATTTTTAGAGATCCTGAACTTTCAACTGTTTGTCGGAAGTCTGATACATTAATATTATATCCAGGGGCTGAAGCTGCTAATTTGGAAGAATTTATATTAGATTCTCCTATTTATCCTTCCACAATCATCATCATTGATGGTACATGGAGCCAGGCTAAGGATATTTTCTATAAGAATTCCTTGTTCCGACTCCCCAAACAGGTAAACTAGTATTTTAACATAGAATAAGCACAAATGTGTAATTATGTATGTTGTATGTATTTTCTGTGAGGGGATTCACATACATTTTTATATATGGATTTGATGGTATTTATGTGTGTGAATGCGTGCACATAGATATGTATATGCATGTATGTGCGTTTGATATGTGTATGTAGAAAGTTTGAAACCTCTTCATCTTTCTCAATTCATACCACCAAACTTCACCATAATTTAAGCATTCAGCTATATTAAGAGTATCTCAGACATTTAATCATTGGAGTCTAAGGATTAATTATTTATGTGTGTATTAATGTTTTTGTTAAGTGTTATATTTAAATACTTCTATTTGGTAACTAAATTACCAGTTCGTATTAGGAATGACTGAATTTTTATGAAATACTTTTTTTGTCATTCATTATCATAATTAGATTATCCCTCAATTTGTTGATGATGATACATGTCCTATAGTGAGCCATTCTTGTATTCTTTGAAAGAACTCCACTTGATCATTTTATATTATCCTTTTGATAAATTGCTGAAATTTTTGAGGCCATTGAATTATAATTTATGTATTTTTTATACTTTTGTTATCAAGTTTGGGTTCTAAGATAATCTTGAGAGCTTGTTTGGAGGTTCTAGCAGGGGAGCGCAGCTACTCGTATACCCTTGACCGAAGAACGGTCCTCCTCTATGGGGGAAGGTCGTCCTCTTCGACCGAGCGCACAGCTTCGGGAGGGACGCACATGGAGCGGTGAGGGAGGAAGGGGACACCCGCCTAGCCAGCCAGATCAGCCGAATCAACCCTGGCGATCAATGGGGTGACAGATGTCGCAGCCAGATCGCCCTCACATCCGGGTTCTAAGATAATCTTAACTTCACCAAATGAATGGGCGAGATTTTAATATTTTCCTATGGCCTGCAATAGTTCAAATAATATTGAAATTCTTGCTTTTTAAAAATTAGAATGAACTCATTGGTGAAACCACCCGCTCCTGGTCTTTTTTTTTTTTTTGCAACTTTTTTTTTTTATTCTTATGTTAATCTCCATACATTACATCATTAATTTTAGATGAAGTGTTCCATGATTCATTGTTTGTGCATAACACCCAGTGCTCCATGCAGAATATGCCCTCCTCAATACCCACCACCAGGCTAACCCATCCTCCCACCCCCCTCCCCTCTAGAACCCTCAGTTTGTTTTTCAGAGTCCATCGTCTCTCATTGCTCCTGGTCTTTTTAAAAATGATAACTTTTAAACCCTTCTTTCAAACTCTTACGGAAATTATTCAACCTTTCTCTTTCTATTTGGTTCAGTTTTTAAGTAACTTTTATCTTTTTTGGGGAATTACTCCTTTCACCTGAGTTAACAAATTGGTGGCCATATACCTGAATATATTCTTAAATACTTATTTTAATTTATTCTAAATTATATCCTTTGTCCTCTCTAATCACTCACACACACATGCTCTTTTCCCCGTGAGCATACTCACAAGATGTTTCTCTATTTTATTTAGCTTTTAAAAGTATTAGCCTTTATTTTTTTATTTTTATTTTTTAATTTTTTAAAAATTTTATTATGTTATGTTAGTCACCATACAATACATCATTAGTTTTTGATGTGGTGATCCACGATCCATTGTTTTCATATAACACCCAGTGCTCCATGCAATACGTGCCCTCCTTAAACCCATCACCAGGCTAACCCATCCTCCCACCCCGCTCCCCTCTAAAACCCTGTTTGTTTCTCAGAGTTCATAGTCTCACATGGTTCATCTCTCCCTCTGATTTCCCTCCCTTCATTTTTCCTTCCTTCTCCTAATGTCCTCCATGCTATTCCTTATGTTCCACAAATAAGTGAAACCATATGATAATTGACTTTCTCTGCTTGACTTATTTCACTTAGCATAATCTCCTCCAGTCCCATCCATGTTGATGTAAAAGTTGGGTATTCATCCTTTCTGATGGCTGAGTAATATTCCATTGTATATTGTATATATGGACCACATCTTCTTTATCCATTCTTCTGTTGAAGGGCATCTCGGCTCTTTCCACAGTTTGGCTATTGCGGACACTGCTGCTATGAACATTGGGGTGCCTATGGCCCTTCTTTTCACTACATCTGTGTCTTTGGGGTAAATACCCAGGAGTGCAATTGCTGGGTCATAGGGTAGCTCTATTTTTAAATTTTTGAGGCACCTCCACACTGTTTTCCAAAGTGACTGTACCAACTTGAATTCCCACCAACAGTGTAAGAGGGTTCCCCTTTCTCCACAACCTCTCCAACATTTGTTGTTTCTTTCCCTGTCCATTTTTGCCATTCTAACTGGTGTAAGGTGCTATCTCAGTGTGGTTTTGATTTGAATTTCCCTGATGGCTAATGATGATGAACATTTTTTCATGTGTCTGTTAGCCATTTGTATGTGTTCTTATTCCCTGGGGAATTCTACCAAACATTCACAGAAGAAATAATACCTATTCTACTGAAGCTGTTTCAAAAAATAGAAACAGAAACTCATTCTATGAGGCCAGTATTAACTTAATCCCCAAACCAGGCAAAGACCCCATCAAAAAGGAGAATTTCAGACCAGTATCCCTGATGAATACGGATTCCAAAATCCTCAACAAAATCCTATCTAATAGGATCCAACAATACATTAAAAGGATCATCCACCACGACCAAGTGGGATTTATCCCCGGGATGCAAGGGTGGTTCAGCATTCACAAATCAATCAATGTGATAGAACACATTAATAAGAGGAGGGAGAAGAACCATATGGTCCTCTCAATTGATGCAGAAAAAGCATTTGACAAAATACAACATCCTTTCCTGATTAAAACTCTTCAGAGTATAGGGATAGAGGGAACATTCCTCAAGTTCATAAAATCCATCTATGAAAAACCCACAGCGGATATCATCCTTAATGGGGAAAAGCTGAGAGCCTTTCCCTTAAGATCAGGAACACGTCAAGGGTGCCCACTCTCACCACTGTTATTCAACATACTACTAGAAGTTCTAGCAACAGCAATCAGACAACAAAAAGAAATAAAAGGTATTCAAATTGGCAAAGAAGAAGTCAAACTTTCTCTTTTTGCAGACGACATGATACTTTATGTGGAAAACCCAAAGACTCCACCCCCAAATTACTAGAACTCATACAGCAATTCAGTAATGTGGCAGGATACAAAATCAATGCACAGAAATCAGTTGCTTTCTTATACGCTAACAGAGCAACTGTAGAAAGAGAAATTAGAGAAACGATTCCATTTACAATAGCACCAAAACCCATAAGATGCCTCGGAATAAACCTAACCAAAGAGGTAAAGGATCTATACTCTAGGAACTACAGAACACTCATGAAAGAAATTGAAGAAGACACAAAAAGATGGAAAAATATTCCATGCTCATGGATCAGAAGAATAAACATTGTTAAAATGTCTACGCTACCCAGAGCAATCTATACCTTCAGTGCCATCCCGATCAAAATTCCAATGACATTTTTCAAAGTGCTGGAACAAACAATCCTAAAATTTGTATGGAATCAGAAAAGACCCCGAATCGCCAAGGAGATGTTGAAAAAGAAAAACAAAGCTGGGGGCATCACGTTGCCCAATTTCAAGCTATATTACAAAGCAGTGATCACCAAGACAGCATGGTACTGGCACAAAAACAGACCAATGAGACAGAATAGAGAGCCCAGATATGGACCCTAACTCTATGGTCAAATAATCTTCGACAAAGCAGGAAAAAACATGCAATGGAAAAAAGACAGTCTTTTCAATAAATGGTGCTGGGAAAATTGGACAGCCACATGCAGAAGAATGAAACTCGACCATTCTCTAACACCATTCACAAAGATAAACTCAAAGTGGATGAAAGACCTCAATGTGAGACAGGAATCCATCAAAATCCTGGAGGAGAACATAGGCAGTAACCTCTTTGACATTGCCCACAGCAACTTCTTTCAAGATCCATCTCCAAAAGCTAGTGAAACAAAAGCAAAAATGAACTTTTGGGACTTCATCCAGATAAAAAGCTTCTGCACAGCAAAGGAAACAGTCAACAAAACAAAGAGGCAACCCACAGAATGGGAGAAGATTTTTGCAAATGACACTACAGATAAAGGGCTGGTATCCAAGATCTATAGAGAACTTCTCAAACTCAACACCCAAAAAACAAATAATCAAGTCAAAAAGTGGGCAGAAGATATGAAAAGACACTTCTCTGAAGAAGTATTAGCCTTTAGAGTGTTTTAATGGCTGTTGTACTTTATTATTTCCTTAATCTGTGATTTTTATCTTGATCAGTTTCTTTCACCTTTGTCAGCTCATTTTTTTCTATTTTTGTAAGATTTTACCGTGTATTCTTTTCCTTTACTAAGATTGGTGAGTTCCTTCTTTAATAATAAAGGGACAGAAGGCTGCAATATTTCTTCTTAGTATAACTTTCTTTTTTTTAATGTATTTATTTTTTCTCTTTTATTTATTTATATATTTTTTATTATGTTAATCATTATACATTGCATAATTAGTTTTTGATGCAGTGTTCCATGATTCATTGTTTGCGTATAACACCCAGTGCTCCATTCAATACATGCCCTCTTTAATACCCATCACCAGGTTAACCCATTCCCCCACCCCCCTCCCCTTTAGAACCCTCAGTTTGTTTCTCAGAGTCCATAGTCTCTCATGGTTCGTCTCCCTCTCCGATTTCCCCCCCTTCATTTTACCCTTCCTACTATCTTCTTCTTCTTTTTTTTTTAAACATATAATGTATTATTTGTTTCAGGGGTACAGTTCTGTGATTCATCAGTCTTACACAATTCATGGTGCTCACCATAGCACATACCCTCCCCAATATCTATCATCCAGCCACCCCATCCCTCCCACCCCCCAACCACTCCAGCAACCCTCAGTTTGTTTCCTGAGATTAAGAATTCCTCATATCAGTGAGATCATATGAAGATTTTATTTATTTATTTGACAGAGAGACACAGTGAGAA